ATCATAAGCACTGGAAATCTTAAAGAAGAGCTCAGACAAACCTCTAGGAAACACTACATGTAGGTGATCCTTCAAGGTCACTTCTAGAAACACTGAAACCACAAGCCTTTCTCCAGAAGCACCTCTCTGCTCACACAGCCACTGCACTATTTTGATGGACTGCAGCACCTTTTTTAGGATTTGCTGGAACAAGACAAAGAAAAATAAAAGCAACCGCAGCCAGCGTGCAGGGAGCAGCAGTCTCAGGCTGCGGGAACAGTCACTGGACTTATTTTTAGAAAGTGGAATTGGTACAACTTCCTCTTCGCTCCTGACTCCATCAGCTCTTCTGCCTGCTCTCTGTGCCTCTGCTTAACTAACATGGAGAAAGAGAACTTCCTTCTACCTTCTGGGTGCCACCTGGACAGCAAAGGCAAAGGCAGGGACACGGCAAGGGAGGCTCCTGCAGCCGGGAGGAGCGGGGGGAACACCAGCTGTCCCCCTACTCGCTGCACACACAGCTGAGCGTTCCCAGCGCCTCCAACGCAGGGGACAGGGCTCGATGTGAGGGGAGGAGGCAAGAGGCTGCTCCAAACGGGAAGGGAGAGAGGCCCAGGAGCAGGGATGAGGTGCTGCCATGGCACAGGGAGGTGTTCCAGCACTGCCTTGTCCTGGTGGGTGACAGGGGGGTGACTGCAAGCAGCAAAGGGACGGTGGCTCACTTGGTGGAGAAACACCGGGCTTCGTCCTGTGCAGCCTCTGCCAACACTGAACTAACACAAGCATCCTCCAGCTCCCCCCTGGCACAAATCCCACAAATCCCACTTTTTCCAGCGGGACACTTCGCTGGAGTCATGCATCAACAGCAGTCTGGGGAGAGCAGAAGGTGCACCTATTCCCCCCACCCCCAAGCAAACTGCAGCATGGGTCACTCCAGCAACGGGTGAACCAAACTTGCTCCCTTGTCACAATACCCTGAAGAAAGGACCTGGCACAGTGTTCAGTGAAACCCTGGAAGGGCCAGGAGAGAGGAAGAACAGCACGAAACTCAATGGGCAAAGACTGAGCTTCACAAATTTCCACTGGCATCTACTCCTACAGCTTCTGTCGCTGAAAACAAACCCGAGCCACGGGGAGGTTTCTGGACGGTTCACACTGTCAGTCTGGAAAACAAGCTCACTGAAGCTGGGTAACTCAGAGCTCACCGAAGCTGGGTAACTCAGAGTTCACCAAAGCTGGGTAACTCAGAGCTCACCAAAGCTGGGTAACTCAGAGCTCATCAGCTGGCAGGAGGCACCTCCAGGAGTTATGTGCTGACTGTGCTAACATCATTTGATTTACAGCGCACACAAAAAACTTCTGACCAAGAAATGGAGAGGAGAGGATGTATTTCAGAGGCATCAGCTTGTCCCAGGGAAAAAACAGTCCTGCCCTGGACTCCCATGTCAGCTGCCCCGTGTTGGCAATGGCCACATCGACTCTTTCCTTATCTCCGATGATCAGTTACCAAGCAGACACTGGAGCTGCAGGGGTGACTTCCCAGCCCTGAGGAAGCCAAGTGCTGTCGGCTCCTGTGCCACAGCTCAGACATCACCCGTCCATCTGGCCTGTTGGACAAGGCTGCCACGCAAACAGCCGAGGCAGCAAAACTGACGTTCATCTTTTCCTTCAGTTCTCAGCCAAATTCTTCATTTTTTGCTCAGGATGAGTCTGCATAAAAGCGTCAGACTCTGCCCAATGAGAGCAGAGGCACAGACACAAACTCTGCTTAAACCCCCGCTACAGAAGCAGGCTTTTGGTAGGTGTCTGAGTGAACCCTGCAGACTGCAAACCGTGTATCACAGCATCTAAATCTGCCAGAGGTGCTGCGTCAGAAACCTCAGTAAAAGAGCTAAGTACTATTCTGTGTTTTTTTAAGGAAATTTAATGTAGATAGAGATCTCTAGGAATTAAAGTTTTCAGCACCAGCTGTACTAAATTCTGCTCACAACTGAAACCCCCTCTGAAATGTCCTGCTAAGGGACATGGACTCACAGGACAGAGCACAGCTTCACAAAAAGGACGAGGTGCTGCTCTCCAGTGCTCAGGTGCTCCCACCAGACCAGGTCACTAGACTTGTCTGCTCCCAGCCCAGTGAGACCTGGTGATACAGAAGGAAGTTTTCTCGTGCTTCCTGCTACTCTCAGACTTGTACTATCAGCTCAAACACTGAGCAAGTGTTTTATAACAGCCTCCACCGAAGGGTACTGAAGCTGAGTAAGAAAGGAGTTCTTCACAAATAAACCAAAAAATCCATTCCTTTAGGACTAGTCCCTGTTATCCTGCAAATAAAGTGGGATGAAATATTCAGGTTGCAACTTGGAGTGCAGGTGCTACACCAGGACGTGGAGCTGGGTGAGGGCAGGGTCAGAATTACAGTTCTGCTACACAGAGAATTTAATTGTGGGGATGATTTTTACCTTGGCATGTCTCTGAATTACATATGTGCAGGAGATTAACCACCCTGCAAGACAAACTGGCAGCCAGAGCTGCTGCTCTGCCTCATTTCTCAGGGACCCCTCCTTGTTAGGAAACTTTTCAAACATAAACAGAGGCATAAACTGCTCCCAATCTGTTTGTGTCACCGCAAACTGAATTTCAGTTGCAGGCAAGAAAAGGAAAAAAGACTGGGGCTAGACACAAACATTACAATTCAAGAGCCCAAATTAACTCAGCCCAGCTCGGAGCCCCGGTCACCAGCACACTGCTCCAGGAGCAGACAGGAGCTCAGGAGGATGCAAAGCCCTCTGTCTTGAGCACACAGTTCAATTTGCAAATATGCAAACAGGTCCAAGTGTTGGCACACATCACCTGCACAGGATGTGGAACTGCCAGCAGGAAGAGCCTTAAAAAAAGAGCCATTACTTAGGAAGGGTTTAGATCTGTGTACTTGACGGTACTCAGTGCTGGGAAAAACGAGGGCATCTCTGGAGGTCCTCTGTGTCTGAGGCCATGAAACAAAGTTTCAGAGAGTCCTTTAAATTAGACATAGGGCAGAGACACAGCTCCCAGAGCACTCACGCCCTAGACCGAAGGACAGCTACTTGATGAATAACATCATCATTTCATACCCCAACAGCATCTTTCACTTGATGACACCAAATTGTCGTGCAAAATTCATTTAGTTTCTAGAGACATGCATCAAGAGTTAAACTTTATTAAAATTTTAGGCACAGGAAAAGCAGGGGGTCAGGATCAGCACTTGCATGGGGTGCCACTGGGCCTCCTGTTCTAAACTCTGCATTTCCTTTTCTTTTAATTAGCTAATCCCCTGATTTATTTCATACCAAATATTTGACAGAAAAGCAGATTATCAGGATGCAGAACTATCACTTGCTGAGATGCAACTACCAAACCAGGAAGACCAAGGTGCAGCATATTTCTCTCAAACAAAACAGACTCAAACTAAATTTAATTAAATAAATAAATCCTTTAAATAGCACAGAAATACCTGCATTTCCCTCGTGCCCTTTTGTAAGGGACTCCCGATTTCCATCTGCATTTTCATACCATCTACTGGGCAGATCCTGAACTACCCCCTGGCATTTGGAGGCCCTGCAGGGCTGCAGCTCACGGCAGCTTGACCCAAGCTGAGCCCCCCACGAGCCCAGTTTTATTCCCCATATTAACACCAAGCACAAGACAGTGCCTGGGATGAAGCACCATCTCATACTCCAAATACTCCTAGCAAGTGCATGGGGACAGCACAGCCTGGCCAGCAGAAGTGTGAGGGTAAGGAGGGGCAGGCAAGAGGAGGAGGAGGAAGAGGCCCAGCCCAGCCCACGGCATTGCTCAGGCGTTCAACCGAGGTGGGAGAACATCTTCCCCCAATATGACTGGCTGCGAAGAGCAGCGACCACATGGCTGTTCCCAGCCACTCAGTGCACGCTGTTTACTATAAACAACAACAGTAAACAGAAACTCAGCCAAAAAACCAAAGCCGGGGACCCCGGACCTGTGTCTCCACATCCCGACTTTCCCCGTGGAAATAAATTAGTTTCATATTCAGCCGCTGAACCCAAACCATCCGAGGCCCGAGGGAGCCAAGCAGCTTCAGTGCATCCCAAACTCGGGCCGCCTGTTTGGATTTGCCAGCTCTGCCTTCAGTCATCCAAACTGCTGCCACAGTTTTCACACGGGAGCTTCAAAGAGCCTGCGGATTAAACCTGCGCGGCAGGAGCCAGCCGACACCGGGGTTATTTTTAAACATCTCAACTGTGCACGAAACGCTCGAATGTTGTCTCACTCCCAGCCCTACCCCAGCACCCGACTCGGGGGGGCTGTGAAGGAGGCGCAGGTTTTCCCCAGGGATGGGGGTTGTGGCGTTTCTCCGGCGGGTCCCGGGGGTCACCCCGACACCTCCAGCTGCGGGACCCCGCGGGGGTCCCTCTCGGAGCACCGGGCTCCATCCACACACCCCCGGGGGCACAGGACGGTGTCACTGAGCCCCGCAGGGCTCCACGGGGAGGAAGGGCACAACCCCCCCGGGCACAGCCCACAGGCGGGGGCCACCCCCTGCAAACCTCCGGCAGCTCGTCCCGCTTCCCCTTCGCTGCCGGGAGCGGCCGGCCCACCCCGAACGGCGCCGGGGCCGGGGCAGGCTCCGGCCGGGCCAGGCACCGCTCCGAGGCCTCGGGGCGAGGCGGCACCGCGGCTGCCCCAGGCCCTGCCAGGGGACACCCGGCAGAGTAACAAAGCCCTGGAAGCGGCTTCCCCAGGAGCCACAGCCCGGCCGGGCAGCGGCGGGGCCGGGGAGCCCGCGGGGCGCTGCCGCGGGCCGGGGGGGCCGGTGCCGGGCGGTCCCCGGCAGGTGCGGGCGGTGACAGCCGCCCCCGGCCCGGGCACTGCGCGGACGCGGCCGGGCCGCGCTGACAGGCGGCAGGAGATCCGGGCCGGGCTGCGGGCCCGACCCCCGCCCGCCCCCGCTGCGCCTTCCCGGGCCGAGCCGAGCCGAGCCGGGCCGGGCCGAGCCGTTCCCTCACCTGCGCGGCCGCCGAGCGCTGGCGCTGCTCAGTCCGTCAGTCCCCCAGCCCGTCAGTCCCTCAGTCCCTCAGTCCCTCGCCGCCGCCGCCGCCGCCGCCATGTTCGCGCTGCGCAGGGAGGCGGGGAGGGAGCGGGGGGAGCGGGAGGAGGGACCGGACAGCCCGGCCCGGCCCCGCCGCCGGAGCGGCTCGGGGAGAGCGGGGCTGCGGGGCCGAGCGGCGCGGCTGGGGCTCGGCTCGGCCCGGCTGGGGCTCGGCTCGGCCCTCACAAACTGCCCCCGACCGTCGCTGCCGACTCCGGACTGTCCTCCCTCAGGGACAGAGCCCCGTGCTCCCTGCGCACTCCGAGCACGGGGCAGACCCTCAGTGTGGGGAGAGACTCCCGTGTGCCCACACGGGCCCCTCTAGGACGGGGCAGACCCCCACCGTGATCTTCAGCCTGGGAACAGCTCCCCCCCCCCCCGCCAACTCAGGACCCCACTGTGAGCCCCCCTGTGAGCCCCAGCCTGGGGACTCCCCTGTGCCACCCCAGGACCATTGGCACAGGACAGACCCCCGCCTCCGTGAGCCCCAGCCTCAGGATGGGCCCCCGTGCCCACCCAGGACACAGGGACACGGGGCAGACCCCCACTGTGATGTACACGCCCAGAGTGGTGCCCCTGTGATTGCCCAGGACACTCTGGGCATAGGGCAGAGCCCCACTGTGACCCTCAGTGTGGGGATGGACCCCCTGTGCCCACCAGAGACCCCCTGGGTACCACAGAGCGATCCATCCATGTCTGGGGCCTCATTGGAGATGGCCAGGCCTGAGGGGGGGCCCACACAGCACAGCCAGGTCCTGGGGACAGGCAACCCCCAGATATTCCCTTTCCTCTCACACTGGGCAGGGCATCTCCCTGCAGCACCATTCCAGCTAGAGACACCACAGGTGTACACATGTATTTGGGGACTCAGTGTCCCTGAATCCCCCCAGGCAAAGTAAGACCCCTGTGACTCCCAGCTAAGAGGATTCCTTGTGCCACTGTTGTACCTCATTAGCTTCACACACCATCTCCAGCTTCCATCCAGACAGACCCCTGTGCAAGCTGACCCCATGAACGCCCACAGACCTTGGTGGTCTCTCCTGACCAGAGACCTTCCCTGTGCTGTAGAGCAACCAGAGCCTGCAAATGGTACCTGAAAACTATCCCCCGTCACTCCTTATCTTGGGAACTCCCGGCTAACAAGTGATAGAACAAGAGGGAATGGCCTCAAGTTGTTCCAGGGGAGGTTTAGACTGGATATTGTAAAAAATTTCTTCATGGAAAGGGTTGTCAATCCCTGGCACAGGCTGTGCAGTGTGGAGTCTGACGTGTAGATGTGGCCTTGGCAGCGCTGGGTGAATGGTTGGACTTGATCTTAGAGGGCTTTTCCAACCCAAACGGTCGGGGGTTCCATGTGACACGTGGCTACTGCAAGGGCCATCGTTGCCTTCACATCCTCTCTCTGCTCCTTGGATTGCCCAGAGAAGAAAAATCCAACAAAATTCATGTGTTCTTGAGATTCAGTTCACTGCTCATGTGAGTGGTCAGTGGATCTAAAGGACCTCTGGCGGTAGCAGTGACTTCTCATGACCTGGGTGTTTCACTGGGACATTGGAGGCATCATAGAATCACAAAATGGTTTGGGTTGGAAGGGACCTCAAAGACTAGCCATCTCCACCCCCTGCCATGGCGAGGACACCTTCCACTAGCCCAGGTTGCTCCAAGCCCCGTCCAACCTGGCCTTGGACACTCCCAGGGATGGGGCAGCCACAACTTCTCTGGGCAACCTGTGCCAGGGCCTCCCCACCCTCACAGGGAAGAATTTTTTCCTAGTATATTTTCCTGCATATTTTCCTACATCCCCTTGGAGTGACACAGGCATGTCACAAGCCTTCTCAGGGAGAAAGCATCTGAACAGTTTCCAAAGTACTTTTAGTGATATGGCTAACACTGGAGTCTCTCCCTGAGTGATTTCTTGTGCTGGGAGATTACATGGAAACTTGAGTGGTTTAGGATGGAAGGAAAGGAGGAAAGGAAGGAAGGAATCAGAAGGAAACATTGCTAGTGTGGACAGGGCTTAGTGGAGTCTGGAAAGGTTGTTCCTGGAAAGCCCTGCTGTGTTTGGGCACTTCCTGCAGTGAGTGGCTTTGTTACCTGTGATGGAGGAAGGTAAAGCCAGGATTCAGCTGTTCCCTGCCTGCTGCCAAATCTGCGGAACCTCTCGGTCCTGGCCGGGAACCCGCACTGGGGCCAGGCAGGGAGCACAGGCTGAGCGAGGGCTCTGGGCTTCAATGACATGGGGGACCTTTCCACTGCTGCCCAGGCCATCAGGAAGGGCTGGAACCACCTCAGCCCATTCCTGTGCTCCTGTGCTTCCTGCTGTGCTTCCCTGCAGAGACGGGAATGCCATGGCTGCGCTGGACTGAAGGCTGCAGCATTCCCAAGGGACTGGAACTGATGTCTGCACTCTGTCTACTGAAGGCAAGAGACACCACACAGGTGCTCACACTGGCCTGGTTCAGCCTCTGCAAGGCTGAAGGTCCTGCCCAAGGCCAAAGAAGCTTCTGTCTGACCAGCAGCTGACTTCTGGGGTACAACAGTTACTCCACAGGTCTTTGACCCCCTTCTCAGGGGAATAAAAAGGAGTCAATACTCTCAGAGCAAAATAAACCTGTATTTGCCGCTTTCTCCCCCCCCAAAAAAACCCCCTCAAGCAACAACAAGAAAAAAACCCACAAAACCAAAACCAAACAAAAACCCAAACCAAAACCAAACAAACAAAAAGCCAAACAAAAACCAACCAACCAACCAAACAAAGGGGACATAGTTCATCAAACAGAGTAATAACTAATAACTGATAACTAGGAAGAAAACTCTTTAAAACAGAGCTGTTCTAGAGCTGCTGTTTGGAGGCTTCTCATGTCTTCTGAATGATGGCACTGACCACTGCCGTGGACCAGCACTGGCCTGGAAAACCTCTTGTTCCTAAAATATTCACATTGAGGGCTGGACAGTTGGAAATTCTGGTGAGGACTGTGCACTGCATTTGAAGATGTGGAGCACACAGTTATGGTAGGACATGGAGGTATGTTTGCTTCCTTCATGGTGCTGCCTCTCAACCTGAGCACCTCCTGAATAAATTCCCAAGTATTACCAATGCTCTTCATGGGTTTCATCAACTCTGGTATTTCCTCATTTCCACAATAATCAGGATTTCATGAATGGAATAAATACACAAGAACTCAGAGCTGCAAGATGGAGGCAGGAGCGAAATTTCTCCATTGATTCTAATTTGGAATGAGCAGCAGCCGAGTTCAGAAGGATTTACATATGACATCCATATGAGCACCACAGGAATGCAGTTTGATTAATACTACAATGGAAACGAGCTGCAGAAATGGTTTGCCATTTATTCTGAAGTGTTGCCAGAAGAGCTCAGCACATTTGCAGCCTGGTTTGGGCCAGCTTTCGGAGAGTGCCGGGGTGATGGATAGCCGGGAGGGAACAGCCTCAAAGGGGCACCAGTACCCAGTGCCTGCAGAAGGAGAGGGTGCAGTGATTGGGAAGAAAACCTCCTGGGCTGTCCTTCTGCCCTCCCTCTCCCTCCCCCATTATTGCCTGCCAACAGCCTGCACTGAACACCCTCCTAGGCTGCTTCCCACTATTTGCAGCATTCCCACTGATGAACTTTGTTTTCTGCCACAAACTGATCCTCAGTCTGGTATGGATGATGTAAATATAAACCACATTCTGCTTGAAAGAAAAGACCCTAACGTCCCCTGGTCCGTGACTTTCTTATCCTGAATCTGATACTTAATAAAAAGGTGAATTATAGGGCATCAGGAAGATCTAGAGGAACATGTGCACCCAGTATTCCTGCCTCACACATCATTATGTTCTACGACCTGACATCTCTCTTGGAGACGGGACATGGGAGTCTTTTCCCTGTGCCTTGGAAAGGCAGAAGAAAAGGTTATTTACAGAGATTAAAGCCCTGACAAGCAGCAGATCACCTTGCAGGACCTCCCATACGTTTCCTTTCCCAAAGCAGTCTCATATTGAGACCAGCTGTTGAATTTACCAGGGTCTGTCTGCCCCAGAGAGTCTATTTTTGTAGTGAAGACTTCATGGCCTGAAAAATCACCTTTGTGAATACCAGTGCACTCTTTTGGTAGTGGGAAATTGCCTGGCCTCACGTCCCAAAAAAGCAATCAGTTCAGATCTGCTTTGCTCACTCTTCCCAGAGTTGCTGCTCTCTTGATCCCACCCCTCCTGTGCCATTAGCACCCCACCAAGCTTGGGTACGTATTTATCATATTTCCATCATTCTAACATGAAATGATTACATAATTATTACTTAATATCAACATGCAACCCTTAGTTATCTGATTTCAGCAGTTGACTGGTATTTCCAAAGCCTGCTATATTCTTCTGTCAACAGTTTGAGGATGCTTCTGTTTATCCAGGTCTAGCTGTAAAAAATCAGTTTGTTTTGAGTATGTATTGTTTAAAGTTCTTGGCTAATAGCAGTCCTGCAAGTCCTTCATCAGCCTTATGAAAAAAGATCTGTGTTGTCTCCAAAAGCAGAATTCAGGAAGTTATTGAACACTTGATTTGTTGCCGCTGTTAATAAATTTCGTGTGTCTATTAATAGACCCATATGGGTTTGAATTCCCTTTGTTCCCAGCGTCTTCTAAACATTTCCTACCGATGCTCTTTGATCCTGCGAGCCACGAATCCTTCCCCTAATGGCTCGTTCCTTCTGTTCGTACCCTTCACAAATTACCACACGCCTTAATCCGCGCCGACCCCTCATCCTCCCGGAGGGATTCACGACTCAAGAGCCCTCTTTGATCCACGTGCTGGAAAGAAACGCTGTTCCCCGGGATACGAGGAGCTGCTGCGCTGGGTCATTAGTGCCGTGGCTGCCGGTGGGCTCGCAGCCAGCGGCGAGGGGCGAGCCAGGGCTGGGGCTGCGGGAAGGGGCAGGGGCTGAGCTGCTGCTCCGCGAGGGCTGCAGCAGGGACATAACGAGCTGCTCGCTGCTCTGGGCCAGTGCCTGGGCCTTGCCCGTGCCAAGAGAGCGCAGGGATCCTTCCCGA